TGCTGAGGTTCGGCCCCCTCTGCTGAGGTTCGGCCCCCCCTGCTGAGGTTCGGCCCCCCCTGCTGAGGTTCCCGTCTTGCAAAAAAAACCCCAACAACAACACAACAAACGGGTGGTCTGACCTGAATTCGTCTGGGATAAATAACCTGCCTGCTGCCTCTCGTTTGGATACATGAAAAGATCTGAGATGAAAGGAGCCTGACGGAAGGGCTGGGAGCTGAACGCGTCTTTGCAAGCCGGCCCCGGTGATGTGAGGGATGTGGGGTCACAGGGCTGAGCTGGGGCAGAGCTCCCGGGCAGCCCCTGCCCTGCCCCGGGCACTCAGCTGGCCAGGGGACTGAGCAGCTCTGCAAAATTAGCATTATGTTTCAACGATGTTCATTTTTAGCTGCAATTTCCTATGGAGAAAATGTGGTTTCTATTCTGTGTTCTCATCCTCTGCCCCAGAGTTGGAACCTATTCCTAAATTCCAGCAGAATCTGAGTCAGGTTTGGTGGGTGCCTGGTGAGCTCATGCACCACACGGGGCAGATGGTGGACCAGGAGACCTACTTTCACCAGCTGTGACACTGGGCACACCAGGGGTGCCTCTTGTTACTTAAGGTGTGCTGTCTGTCCCCATAGCCAGAGGCAGCGGAGCCAAGCACCGTGCATTGGTGACACTGCTGTCCCCAACCACTGTGTGTCAGTGACACTGCTGTCCCCAACCACTGTGTGTCGGTGACACTGCTGTCCCCAACCACTGTGTGTCAGTGACACTGCTGTCCCCAAGCACTGTGTCCTGGTGGGGCTGATGACTGCTGTCCTGCTGGTGGGCACAGAAACCCTCAGCCAGGAGTGCTCCAGGAGCTCTTGTCTTTTGGCTCTTCCATTCTCCTGGCACAAGAGTCCCATCCCAAGTCTGTGGAGACAGTCCCAGCGTGGTGTCGGTGTGGTCCTGGGGGACCCAGCTGCCACAGGAAGGGCCCCTTATCTCACTCCTGCAGGCCAGGGCAGGAAGGCAGAGGAAGGGGCCGGGCTTGCCAAAGCAAACGGCAGCCGTTGTTACCCTGCGGGTGTTTGCACTGCTTGGTCCTGCATCCTGGCTGTGCAGGGGACCTCTGTGCCAGGGCCCCATGGTGACATGGGGCACGGGGCAGGACACAGCCCTGGTAGCAGCACCCTGAGCTGGGGCTGGTGGCAGCCGTAGGTGCAGGGCTGCAGGTGCAGATGGTTCCTTCAGCCACCCTGGGCAGTTCAGACAAGGTGAACTTGCACAAGGAAGGAGGGGCAGTGCCGAAGTGATGCCCCTGCCCAAAATACCTCATGTGGGGGGTAAGAGCAGTGGCATCTACTGCAGGCCTGATTTTGCACTGGCCAGGGTGGGGCAGGGCTCAGGCAGCTCCTCTCTGCTGTGTCCCTGCAGCACCAGGCTTGGGGACCTGACTCATGGAGGTGGCTGGTGTCAAAGCACCTCAGCTGAGGGGTGTCCCCTGGCTGTGTCCTCCTGAGCTGGACCTGGCTTGGCTCCATCTGGGGCAGCATCAACCTGTGAGGAGCCAGCAGACATGGTGACACCGTGGCTGGATGGTGACATCTCTCTGTCCTGCAGTGGATCCCTGTTGCCATTTCCCCTGCCAGCACCAAGGGGTCTGCATGAGGGTCGGCCTGGCAGGATACGAGTGTGACTGCACACGGACGGGATACTTCGGCACCAACTGCACCTCCCGTAAGTCCCCCTCGCCCAGAGGGCCTCTGGCACCCATGGGTGCTGGACCAGGCTGCTCCTCTGGCACACACCCCCAGCAGTGACAGCACGGGTGGGCAGGGGTCGTTAGTGGGCTTTGTTAGGGGGGCGAGGGATTTGATTGGTCTGTCTCCCCAAAGCCCAGCTCTGGACACGCCTCCATGATCTGCTGAAGCCCAGTCCTGCCTTCTACCACTTCGTACTGACCCACTTTAGATGGTTTTGGGACATTGTCAACAGCACCTTCATCCGGGATACGCTCATGATGCTCGTGCTGACAGGTGAGGGGTCGGAGCAGGTCTGGGGGTGCAGCAGGACTTGGGGACCAGGGCTGCCAGCCAGCTGGGACACACAAGCAGCTCTCAGCACACTGCACTCCCTGGGCTAAAGGGCTCTTGAGCAGCTGCACAGAAAGCAGCCTGTGGAAATACGGAGCTGGTCCTTGTTACTCATGTCCCTGCATTCATCACTTTGCATAAATATTTAGGTTCCAGCCCTTGGAGATGTAGCGACACGTTCACAAGGCTCCGGTTGTTGCGTTTACCATTTCTATGTGGTTGTCATCTCATACATCATCCAAGAATCCATTTAGTGCATTAGCCTGAGCCCTCCATTTCTGCAGGGAACTCCAGCCTTTAAAAGGCTGGGAGCAGAGCCCAGGACACCCACATGCCTCCGCTGCTGGTCCCTCTCTGGTTTTTGGGGTGGCTGGGGGCAGAGCGGGTGGGGTGCTGCCCCATGCCCTGGGCCCCACAGTGATGACCCCCATCTCTCCTTTCAGTTCGTGCCAATCTCATCCCCAGCCCTCCCACCTTCAACTCTGACTATGGCTACATCAGCTGGGAGGCCTATTCCAATGTCAGCTACTACACCCGCGTCCTCCCGCCCGTGCCAGAAAACTGCCCCACACCCATGGGCACCAAAGGTACGTGGCTGAGTCACTGGAGCAGCACCCAGGAGCAGGTTTAGTGTTTCCTATCCATTCGTGCCCAAGCTTTCCCTGCCATGGCCACATCTGCAAGGCACCTCTGGCAGCACCTCATCCAGTGCTGCTGCTGTCCTGCCCAAGCCAGCCCCGTGGGCAGGAGCAGCTTGATGGCATCTGAAATGGTGTTGGGACAGCTCAGGCTGAGCTGCTGGAGCATGTCCTAGCCTGTGTAAGGTGTCTGTGAGGACAAGTCAGTGCCTGGTGCTGCAGCAGACACTGACAGCCCCACAACCAGCAGCAGTACCCAGCTGGCTCAGTGCTGCCCTCAACCTCCATCCTTCACAGGCAAACAGCAGCTCCCCGACCCCCAGCTCCTGGCAGAGAGGTTCCTGCGACGGCAGAAGTTTGAAGCTGATCCCCGAGGCACCAACCTGATGTTTGCCTTCTTTGCCCAGCATTTCACCCACCAGTTCTTCAAGACATCTGGGAAGATGGGACGTGGCTTCACCAAGGCACTGGGGCACGGGGTGAGGATGGTGGATCCGGGAGTGAGGATGCAGGCAGGGCTGTGCTGCCTTTGGGAGCAGCCTTCACACTGCGCTCTCTTGGCAGGTGGACCTGGGGCACGTGTACGGGGACAACCTGCAGCGGCAGCACCAGCTGCGACTCTTCCGGGATGGGAAGCTCAAATTCCAGGTACCACCTGGCATGACTCCTGTGCTACAGAGTTGTTTGAAGCCCACATCCCTCTGGAAGCTGCAAGACTAGAAATTCCCAAGACCATCAGGAGACCCAAGTCAGGGGGATGAGTTTTGGGGCTGAGCTGTTCTGACAGTTGGGACTGTGCAGGGGGATGTTCTGTCCTGCATAGATCTTGCAGGAACGTGACCAGGGTGCCTGCAGGGAGGCAGGTCCCAGCTGGGCAGGTTTTCACCAGGGTGAATTTCTCCCTTCCACCCTTTCTGCCATCCTCTTCTTGTTTCCCCAAGGTGGTGGATGGAGAAGTGTACCCCCCCATGGTCACTGATGCTCCGGTTCACATGGTCTACCCGCCTGCTGTACCCAAGGAGAAGCAGCTGGCAGTGGGGCAGGAGGTGTTCGGGCTGCTGCCGGGGCTCTGCATGTACGCCACGCTCTGGCTGCGCGAGCACAACCGCGTCTGCGACATCCTGAAACGGGAACATCCCACCTGGAGCGACGAGCAGCTCTTCCAGACAGCTCGTCTCATCCTCATCGGTGAGGACCGGCCGTGCCACAGGGCACAGGCACCGTGGAGCTCCATGTCCCACCTCCCTGGGCAAGCCCTGGGGACTTGGGTGTCAGTTGGTCTCCATTTGGGGGTGGTGGCCAGGCTGGCTTTAGAAGGTGGAGGAGTTTTTCTGTCAGCCTACTGGGGATCATTGGCTTTGGAGCACATGGCAAGAATTGGCTTTGGTCCTTCAAAAAAAAATAATTTTCAATAACTTTGTAATAATTTTGAATTATTCCAGTTTAATGTTCGTTGTAAATTTACTATAATCTCATGAAAAGTAATTTTTACCAAAATCCCCCAAAAAGAGGCTTCTCTAAGGAGCAGATCAAGGTCAGCTTCCTCAGGAGCCATTTTGCTTTTGCCAGACTGACCTTGGCTGGTGAAAAAATAAGTCACTGAAAATTTCCCAACCAACTAAAGAAGTCAGAAAGATCCCAGATGGTGGATGGGTGTGAGTTTGTGCTGCCATAGCATGTGGGTAACATCTCAGGGCACAGAGCTGGTACCTCCTGCTTGCTGCCAGCTGCTTCTCTCACCTTCTGCCCAGGGGAGACCATTAAGATTGTCATTGAAGACTATGTCCAGCATCTCAGCGGGTACTTCTTCAGCCTGAAGTTTGACCCTGAGCTGCTGTTTGGGACACAGTTCCAGTACAGGAATCGCATCGCAGTGGAGTTCAACCAGCTCTATCACTGGCACGGGCTGATGCCCGACTCCTTCATCATCCAGGGGGAGGAGTACAGCTATGAGCAGTTCCTCTACAATGCCTCCATGCTCATGGACTATGGTGTAGAGGCACTGGTGGAGTCCTTTTCCAAGCAGAGTGCAGGAAGGGTAAGATCCTGCTCTGCTGTCCCTGACAGCACCGGGGGCAGTGGGACCCAGGGAGGGATGCTGGTGGGACCATGAAGGCAGATGCTGCTGTAACCAGCCTCCCTGTTGGGCAGCAGGTTGCTGTCTCCTGTCCAGGGCAGCACCTGATGGGCACCCTGAGTCCTTCCCACAAGCACCAGAGCAAGACTGGGCCTTGGCAGGCCCATTTGCTTGATCCTGGGGCTCTGTAGTAAACATCATGGTGTCACCAGGAGACTGTGATGTGCTGGGATCTCCTGTCTGGGCTGGCTGTGGAGCAGCCTGGGTGTGGAGCAGCTCATCTGTTCTTTGCTGCCATCACATGGATATTTTCTTCCAAGGGATTACGTCTGCATTTCTGACTGTCTTGTCTTGTGCAAGGCTGAGCCACAGACCTGCTGCTCTTGGGGTGTTCAGGTTTTCCCCATGACCCCAGCCCTAGTAATGTCTCACCTCCTCCTGGGCTGGTGGGTCACTGCCCATCCCGGGTTTCTCCTGCACCATTCTCTGACTTGTGCTGGGAACAGAACTGGCTTCCATCCAAGCTGCTCTAAAGCTTTTTTTTTGGTCATGTCCAGTGGTTCCCCCTTTGCTCACTGCTATGATGATGTGCTGGTTGGTGGCTCCTCTGGAGCAGATGTTGGTGCTGTCTCATGCCTCACATGTCTCCTTCTTCACCCTCCAGATTGGTGGGGGACAAACCATCAACGCCAACGTTTTACATGTGGCTGTTGGGGTCATCAAGGAGTCCCGGCAGCTGAGGCTGCAGCCGTTTAACGAGTATCGGA